CACAAAAGAGGAAAGTGGAAAAAGAAAAGAATATAAATATAGCACTTACTAATTTTAGGGTTTGAGTGAAGACTAATGGAAGAGAGGATGGAGAGAGATGGGGACAATCTATTTTGGAACGATGCTTAGCAACTTTATATGGAAAACAATGTAAACCGGTTTTCAACAAAGATTAAAAAAAAAAAAATGTCCTTGGAAAGCATGGAGATGTTTCCCATTGTAATTCCAAAAATAGTTTAGTGGTCTTTCTAGTCATTATGTTCCACTTGGAGGGTGTTTTGTTAAACTTATATTTTGTGACTATATAACATTAAAATTTTTGTATTTATGGTACAAATAGTTTTAGGCGGGAAAATATTTTAATCTATGTTTATCATATAATTAACATTTTTCTATTAGAAAAGTTTATATATGAACATTAATTATCTTTTGTTACTCAGTTACTAATATTTATTAGTAATAAATTATCTTAAATAGAATATTGAGTGATTACATACAAGTCAATAAAATCATATATTAATTTCAATGTAATTTGTTGAAACAATTGAAAACAAATATTCATTATAATTATAAAAATTGATTTGATTAATTATATTACCATATCATGGTTGTAGTTTTTAATTTTATTAATTATGATCACCAATCAGAAGAACTTAAAATATATAAAAAAATTACAAAAATAATTGTGTTTGAATCATATTAACTTAATGAATAGTTTCATAAATAATAAAATTACTAAAATGTAGTGAACTTCACGATAAAAAAAGTATATTTCTGTTAAATATATCATTTGTATTGGAACTACTATCAAAAATCAAATTTTAATATATGGATAAATTTATTATTTGATGGTCGGGTGAAATTAAGAATTATAAGTTTCGCATTAAAAATATCTATATAAGTCAACAAATGATTTAAGTAGCAAAAAAATGTAATTTTATTATTTATTGTTCAATAAAGAAAAATGAGTACATAAGATAATATAGTCAAATATTGTAACTAAATAACATTTGCTAAAAATTGAAATATAGAATTTATCTACATATTTAAATTGTATATTAATATACTCATTATAAATGTTGAAAATTAAACAAATATACCGACCAAAAAGATAAAATATTTACTATGAAAAAAAAAATTGTTTCATAAGACTATAATTTAAATTTAGTTATCAAACAATTAATATTTCATGCATCTAGAACTATAATAAACGAAAATAAATTTTATGGGTTAAACGTTAGTTAGTTATCAAACATTAGGCAAAATATGAATTATTAAAAAAAAGGTTAGAATATCAAGATAATCAATAATTTTATAAGTATATGTAGGTAATTATATACAAACATCATATTTAGAATCTTAGATAATTATAATATTTTATAAACTTAAAAATAGTGTAATATTTATTTATTAAATAGTCAAGACCTACAAAAATAAATTAAAATAATAAAAAATATTCAAATAAAATTTATATTATTACTGATTTGATATATAATGTCGGATAAAATTAACATACTATCTTAAATAATTTAATAATAAAATATTAATTTACAGTATGTCTCGTGCATCAGCACTAGTATAGATTATTGACATACAAAATTTTGAAAAATAGAGGATGATGCTTAAAATAAAAAAAAATTCTAAAATCTATATATATATATAAAAAGAATTATCATTTACTAAAAATAGTAGCAAAAATTTAGGAAACACTTAATGCATACTGTTTTTGGAATTTTTTTTAAATATATGCATTAATTGCTTCTTTTTACACATTTTCAAATATGATCAAATAATTTCTTAAATAAATTTATTAATATTTGCAGTATTTCCATTGATATTTATTATAATAAATTACAAGATTGATTTTCGTGATTCATGTTGATAATATTTTGGTTAAGATAAATATTATTCTATTAATGTTTGTAATACTTTCATTATAATAAATTACAAGATTGATTTGTGTGATCCATGTTGATAATATTTTGGTCAAGATAATATTACACCATATTTTAAGTTCTAACCATAATATTAGTTTTTTTTTTCACAAATATTCACTTTTTATCCAAAAAAATTTATGAAAATTGTAACAGGTTAGGTAGAATTTTTTTTCCCAGTAATCAGACAAAAACAAGTTGGTGAATTAATCTTTGCCAATATATTTGTTTCTTAAGCTTTATTTTGTTAAATATAAAAAATAAATAGTTCTTCAAATTAATATAATTTACCATTTAAGAGATAATGACCAGATACAATAAATTTAATTTTACTAATGGTAAGAAATTAAAATTACAACATATTAACTATTGTTTAGAATTTATTTGTATATTATTGGCACCCATGATTATATTTTTTCATTTTTTATTTTGATTTATTTCTATAATTATATTCTTGTAAAATATATTTTCATTGCTGAGTATGCTAAATAAACCATAAATCCTTATAATACGAATTAGAAAAATCTTGATAAGTATACAAATTAGATTCTAAAAAAACATGTGTATATTTTGTAAAATATTTATACACTATTTAATATTAAATTTATTTACATATTTTAAACTGATTACATAAATAAATAATATCAACGTGTATTAAATATTTTTCATTACATAAAAATAAAAAGAAGACGTACAACTTCTACAACTTTACAAATAATAATGACATTATATGACATAAAGTGATAATAAAATAATAATTAAATATTATATGGTGAACAAGAATAAGTAAAATTGTTATTATCTCTTATATCAAGAAATAAATATATATACTAAAATTGAATTTAAATTAGGATAAATATGTTAGTGAAATAATATATTAATTATTTTAATATTCTGACTAAAAAAATAACGTTGATTAAAAGAGGTGCAAAATATATTATAACCTTATTGTTTATTATACTTAACGCTAATTAAAAGAGATGAAAAATAGATGATAATCCTATTGCTTTATATACTTAAACGCACAAAGCATGTGAAAATAATTCATTTAATATTTCTGTCTCGTGCATCGCATGGGGTACATACTAGTTATAAGAAAGAGCTTGATAATAAAATTCATGTGTGCTAATTGGAGCTAAAACTGTTTTCCTTACATAATATTAATGCTATGTTTGATAAAACTAGCTTGTAGTTGATAAGCTAGCTTATAGCTTATTAGTAATTTTTGGGTTTATAGCTTATGATTTATAGCTGAAAAGCTAGCTTATATGATAAGAGCTTTTGGTAAAATTAGCTGATAAGCTAACTGAAATAAAATTTTCAACGAGCTTATTCGAAAAGCTACCAAAAGAAGCTCATCAAATAAGCTCGTCCTACCAAAAGGAGCTTATTTATAGGGACATTATAAGCTAATCAAATAAGTTATAAGCTAACTTATTGGTCTACCAAACATAGCCTAAGTGATTGTTAAGTTGACAAATCTTTTAACCAACATTATATCAAATACTATGAATAAAATAATAGTAACAAAAAAAAAAATACTTCTATCTTTCTCTTCCCTTATTCACACTTTATTACAATATATATATGTATTATTTTAATTCTTAAATAAAGTGATGATAATGTCAAAAAATTGTGACAAACATTATAACCGACATTGATTCAAAAACAGTGTGGTTTATATTATTTTAAAGTTATAAAATTACGTTAAAATTGTTTTAGTTTTTATGATTTCTAGTAACTTATATTCTAGATCTTTAAATTTTCTTTATAATCTAATAATTCATGTGGCAGTTCAACACCGGTTGATTATCGTTATAGATAATCAAATCTTTGCTTAAAGATAATTTTTCAATTTTTGCTTAATGTGGCAGTTCAAACACCGGTTGGTAAATAAAAAAAGTTATCAAATCTTTGCTTAAAGATATAAATATTCAATTTAAAAATAAAAAATATCATGAATATTTAACTCAAGAAAATTAAGAAAAATGCAATAATAATTTATAATATAAAAATATTTTTTTTTTCAAAATAATAAGATATATATTTATGTCTGAATATTTAATGCAAACATTTTATAAATAAAAATAATATTTTTTATTAATAATAATATGCAAAATGAGTGAAACCAACAGTTGGCTCCATAGTGGAGTCAATCTTCTATATACAAGAAATAAACTTACCATATTAATAAAATTATATTAATGTTATTTAAGCAATCTAAAAATATGATAAGTTTACTTGTTGTATATAGAAAATTGGCTTCAGTATAAAGTCAATTGTTGATTCCATAGCAAAACCGATCTTAACAAATCATCATAATGGCTCTTGAATATTGTCACCATTCAAAGCCGTTTTAGTCAAACGCCAGACCAATTATTTATTTATTTATTTATTTTCTGTGATAATATATAGCGTAATACGCATTGTTACACGGACCGAGAATATTTCTTTTAAAATTTCAAAGTCGGTAAACCTTAAACTAATAATTAATGCTCTTCCTCGTACACTCCAAAAGCGTTGAGCCTAAAGCTGTTCAAATGATCATAGAAATTTGGTGATGCTGTCTGGCGTATAAACGGATGACACGTGGACCACTAATTTATTTTCTCAAGATCCCAATTATCAACAAAATAATCTTGAAAATGATTCTTATTGAATTATTAGCCCTCCTCTTATTATAGCTGTGGATGTGATTTGACCAACTATTTTCTGATAATAATTCTGGAAAAAAATAAAAAAAAAAATTGGCTTTATTGTTTAGGGGAATGTTCTGCAAATTGGAACTCGTTGTCGAGTTGCAACTTGCAAGCTAATTGAGAAAAATTGTTCCGTTCTATTTTGAATTACTTCTTATAACATTTGAGGTTCGGGTTTTTGATCTGGTTAGGCG